TTCTGCCGAGTTTGGAGGCAGGTGAGGAAATCATCACAGTGTGGCAGAGTTCCTGGAGAAGGTGTCACAGGTCTCAGTGTTACCATGCAAGTAACCCTAGCCAGGCAGAGAAGGAAGAGCAGGCTGTCCAGCCATAGGGGCATCAGGCCCAAAGCCTGGGCCTGGGGAGGGCATGGAGGGCTGGGGAGGCTGAAGCTTAGGTGAACAGCTGTGCCTGGAGAGACAGGGTGATCATGAGAAAACTCGTGGGTTAAGGAGAAATGGCTTTCAGATCTTTTTGGGAAGCACGACTTTTCCAACAGTCATCTTGGGCAGAATTCCAAGATTTAAAATAGGTAGAGGCAGAGTTGCTTAGGTGCAGCAGTGAGAGGCTGAAGTCCCTGCATCCTTGCTCCAGATGGTGTCGTGCCCAGTGTGAAGCAGGGAGTGGCTTGTAGGTTGCGCAAAAATGTTAAACTTGTGCACAGCACCTGTTGGACAAGTTGGTCCTCACAGAACCCCCAGAGGACGTCAAGCTCTCTAAGATGACAATCAAGCTACAACAAGGGGTCTCTGCTATCCAAACAGTCATGAAGGCCAAGGACACAGAGGTGGGGCACATGATGACACCACTACTGGGAGGGCAGGGGACAGTGAAAAGGGGTGCCTGCACCTGTAGCTGGTAGGACTATAAACTGGCACACTACTTCCTGGAAAGCAATCTGGAAAAATGCATCAAAAACTCTAAATAGCCCCATCATTTCACCTAAAATCCCATCTGTAGGGATCTATAAAAAAATTTTTTTTTTCTGATTTAGGCATAAAAATGTTGCAACATTTGTTAGAACAGAAAAAATAAAGAGGAAAACACTAAGTGTTTACCTGAACGGGGCATTTACATAAGTTACAATATATCAGAAATTGTATTTCCTAAGAATATTTGGTGACACAGGTAGAACTTACGTCAAGTGGAAAAAAATGCAAAATGCATATAATATGACATAGATTTAAGGTATATGTATATGAATACATGTCCATAGAAAAAGAGGGGAAATCTCCAGTTGCATGGTAATAATGATTATTTCTGGGTAGCTGGGTTGGCAGGAGCTTCTAGTTTCTTCCTTAATGTTGCCTGTATGTCCTGGAGTTCTGCCATAGATATGTTGCTTCCACAATCACAGGGAGGGTACAGGTACTGGATTTGGGATGACAACATGCTGTGAAGGAGAGGCAAGCAGGCTCTCCCTGAAAGCCACTAGGGTGTTGTGCCCTTGGAGGGTGTCAGGCAAGATAGGGTGGGGGCTGCAGGGTGGCCTGTGGGAAGGGGCTAAGGAGGTGGAGAAGCACTGGGAGGGCAGCAGTGGACAGCATTGTCTGAAGGTAGAAAGGACACTGCCACTAAAGCACACCTGAGGGGCTTCCAGCTTGCTAGTGGCCAAAGATGTGGGTCTAAGGAAAAGAAGCTCTGGGACTGACTCTGAGGTGATGGAGCTCCCTAGGATAAGGTTGCAAGAGATGGTAGAGGCATAACAGGGCTCCCAGACCAAAGCCTTGGCTTGGTATTCAAGGTCAATGTGGCTAAGAGGTTCTGATGTCCTGTAAAGAGAACTTGCCTTTGGTGGTTATGGTCAGGCTTTCAGAATGTTTCATTCTCAACTGGATCAGGGCCCCCATGGTTGTAGAACACTGAGAAAGTGACTGTCGAAAATCTGTCTCCACTTTGTGATCTTACTACTCCTCACCCTGAGAATGCCCTGCCTCCCTCCTAAGAACTAGGGCTTGGAAGTGCCCTATAGGTTCTCCCTGCACTGATGACTCCATCACACCAGCTGAGATGGCTCTGGTCCCCAGGAAGGGAAAACTGTGGTGGAATCACAAAAGGCCCCAGAAGTGCTCCAAAGTGACCTAAGATAAGGACACAGTGTACCCAGGCTGGTTAGGACTGTGGTTAGGACTGGTTGGGACACATTCCTGTGCTTCAGGAGAGACAGAAAGGAGTGAGGAGGTACCAGAGAATGGCTAGAAGATGACAAACGGATCCTGTCTGGCCCCAAGACAGGACAGGCAAAGGGTAAAGGAAAGGGCTATAAGATAACTGACCTGCTCTCCCCTAAGAAGATCAAGGTCAGAGAAAAGAAGTCTGAACTAGATGAAGGAGTCCAAAGAGACGTAACAACCAAATGCAGTGTAGGAACCCTGACTGGATCCTAGATTTTATTTTTTTTTATTTTTTATTTTTAAAGATTTTATTTATTGGGGCATCTGGGTGTGGTCGGGGTGTGGTCTCAGGGTCCTGGGATTGAGCCCCGCAGCGGGCTCTCTGCTCGGTGGGGAGCCTGCACCCCCACCAACCCGCCTGCCTCTCTGCCTACTTGTGATCTCTCTCTCACTGTCAAATAAATAAATAAAATTTTCTTTTTTATTTATTTATTTGACAGAGAGAGAGAGAAAGAATCACAGCAGGCAGAGAGGAAGGCACAGAGAGGGGGGAAGCAGGCTCTCCGACCAGCAGAGAGCCAGATGCAGGGCTCGATCGCAGGACCCTGAGCCAAAGGCAGTGGCTTAACCCATTGAGCCACCCAGGTGCCCCTGGATCCTAGATTTTAAAAAGCTATCAAAGAAGTCGTGGAGAAATCTGACTGGGACTGGAGGTATGATGTAAGACAGAAGGAGTGAGTTTTCCCAGATGTAATAGTGGTGCCGAGCACCTCCACCCAACAATTTAGGAGATCTAGCTCCAGTGCCCAGGGCTGAAGTGTTGTGACTCTCTCTACAACTCCCCTTCAAACACCTCAGAAAACACCTGCGGGGTATGCACACACGGAATTAAGCGGATATGGCAAAAACAGTAACTGTTTTATCTAGAAGGCTGGTATATGGATGTCCATTATTCAGTTCTTCCAATTGCTCTGTATATTTTTCAATCTCATAATAAAAAGTTGGAAAACATATCTAACCATAAGGTAAGCCTCGGAACTGGAAAGAAAACAAAGGAGTACGTGCAGTAGAAGGTACGGCTTTACAGTGGGGGCCAAAACTACATACCTCCAGTGGGGAACGACCCAAAAATGTCAGAATTGTCAAGAAGGGCTGAAATCCAGTTATTTCAACAGTGGGTTACAGGATCAGAAATCTAGATATGTAAAAAACATTACCAGTTCGCTTAAAATAACATAAGCAATACATACTCATAGAAAAGAAATTCCAGCAAAGTATAAAGAGGAAAAAATGAACACTTTTCACCTGCCTCCCATTTCCAGTGTTAAGAGTTGGCTGCATCTCCTTCCAGATCTTTTTTGTGAATAAACTCCATATGGTGAAAGAGACAATAGCAAAGGTTTACTGAGCGTTGACCAAGTGCTGGGTGCAACTCTCTGTGCTTTCTGCACATTATCTCAGCATGTCATCTAATTTTCACAGCAACCTTATGCAGCAGGTATAACTACTGTCCTCAGCTCAGAGAGAACAGAGAGGGTGGGAGGTGGGATTCCCACCAGCGTGGCCAGCACAGCCTCAGAGAAACCAAAAACAGATGGTGGGAGCACAGCAGCTGTGCGGTGGGCCTAAGGGAAGACTCTGCAGAAAGAGCACCCAGTGCCAAGGCTCCAAGAAGGGCCGGGCTTAGGTGTGTGAGAACAAGGTGGAAATGGAGGGAGGGGCCAAGAGCAGATCACATGGGGTTTATCAGGCCCCGGAGGAGTCTGTGCAGAGGGAAGGGCCTCTCTGAGCCTGCATGATGGTGCCCATGCTGTAGTCCCAGTGTTGAGCAGGAAGAGTGAAGGTTCTGAGAAAGCAGTGTGTGACCACAGCTACTGAATGCTGGCTGACCTGGACCCAAATCCAGCCACACCTGTCAACTCTTAAACACAAGGGATAGCCCTCTTTACACGCCAGAATTTCTCAAAATGAGCAATACACAGACGCCCCCTACAGGCTTCTCACACACTTACAGGGTCCCCAGAGAGTCCTGTTCTCCACCAGAGGGACTCTGGGTAACAAACACACTCTTGGGTACCAAAATCAGGGAGGAACGCTCTGTGATAAGCTGGTCTTCCAAACAATCCAGAATATTCTAGTAATAATGTTTTAGATTACAGAATTTAAAATAAATGTTAAAGAGTGATCCTAGGAGCACCTGGGTGGCTCATTTGGTTAAGCATCTGCCTTAGGGTCAGGTCATGATCTTAGGGTCCTGGGACTGGCCCTATATCAGGCGCCCTGCTCAGTGGAAAGCCTGCTTCTCCCTCTCCCTCTGTTCCGCCCTGTCCCTGCCTCGTGCTCATCCTCTCAAATAAATAAAAAATATTTTTTAAAAAAAATGAAGGGTGATATTAGCTCCACAGATCCCTGTGAATGCCTAGGTGGACCGGAGTTTGGGGAGCTCTGTTTAGTAATACCCTATCTGTTCTGTAACAGCTAAGGAAGCTGGACTGCAAGCCTGGCACAGAACACAGTGAGTGAGCCCTGGCTGAAGAAAGTTCTATACCAAGTTCTCCTTACACTAGAGATCACTGATCACATTCTCTCCCTTCCACTTTTTACAGAGGGACACACTCATGGAAGCACGGGGACACTTGCCTAGCAGCCACATCAGGCCTAGAGACCAGACCACAGCCAGATCACCTGAGTGGGAGAATCCAAAGCTGGAAGGCAGATGAGTGGGCCTCTGCTTTTAGGGGAGCATTACAGCTACCCCCAATGCAACCCAGCCCCAAAGCTCTGAAGAGTGTCTCATTATGTGGTGGCTTCAGCAAGGACTGAGCCCACAAGCACGTCGACACAATGACAGTCATGCCTTCAAAACACCAGCTGTACCAGAACCAGAGCAGAGGAGTCAGAAGTCACTCAGCAGAGATCAAAGACCCAGCCGAGGGGGGTTGTGCTGACAAAGCTAGTTGAATGGTATTTGATTTGGGACATATTTACTTTGAAAAATACCCAACACCAGCCCAGCACCAAAGTTCACATTGAAACCCCGCTGGTGACCTTGGCTCATTTCATCTCTGCAACACCACTTCTCAGAAGCACAGAGGTGAGTTTGGTTTTTAACATTTCTGTAGATTTTAAATTCTTATTTGCAGTGGTTAGAGATGGATAACATGCATTTCTCTATCAAACTACAAATTCAAAAGCTTTCTACACTGTTTTAAAAATGGAAAAATGGTTTTGTTTTTAGTCTGCCTAATATAACATTCTGTCAGTAACATTACTGACACAACTGACAAAATTGGAATAGGAACTAGAATAGGAAAATATTGTACCTATGTTAAATTATCTTAAGTATGTAATGGTACTATGATGGTACATGAAATACCCCTGTCCTTAGACATTTTTCCCTGATATATTTGAATTAAAAGTTGAGGGACACGCCAAAAGTGACCTATTCTCAAAGGTTTCAGAAAAAAAAAAAAGAGTTTATGTGTGTGCCTGCTTGTGTACACACCCATACGCACAGATGTGTATATATGGAGAGAAAGCCATAAAGCAACTGTTCAAAATACAAAAGCCAGTGAATCTGGGAAAAGGGTATACAGGGGCTGTTCTCTACGTCGGTCTTCCTTACTACCTTCCTTCCTTCTTTTTCTTCCTTCCTTCCTTCCTTCTTTCCTTCTAAGGTTTTATTTATGTATTTGACAGAGAGAGACACAGCGAGAGAGGGAACATAAGCAGGGGGAATGGGAGAGGGAGAAGCAGGCTTCCTGCCAAGCAGGGAGACCAACATAGGGCTCAATCCTAGGACCCCGTGATCATGACCCGAGCCGAAGGCAGACACTTAATGACAGAGCCACTTAGGCAACACTTATGTCGGTTTTTCAACTTTTCTAATGTTGGCAGTTATTTCAAAATGAAAGGTTTTTAAAACTTCAAGCAGTCACTTCTCCCCCCATCATATCTGCTTTCTTTGGGCCTGAAGACATAGCCAAGAGGGACTAAGATGTCCAGGTGTTATGCTTTGATGTGTGACCAAAAAGGCCAACCTTGCTCCATACTACTGGCATAAGAAAGCACCATATAAAGTTCCCAGAAAGGCAAACTTTTGAATGATTTACCTTTAAAAAATATTGCTTCTCTTCAAAAGTAGTCACCAGGATTTAAACATAACCTAGTGGTAGTTTTAAAGTGTCTTATATATGAGTACCTGGGGGGCTCAGTGGGTTAAGCCTCTGCTTTCGGCTCAGGTTGTGATCTCAGAGTCCTGGAATCGAGGCCCGAATCAGGCTCTCCGCTCAGCAGGGAGCCTGCTTCCCCCTTTCTCTCTCTGTCTACTTGTGATCTCTTTCCCTCTGTCAAATAAATAAATAAAATCTTTTAAAAAAATAAAGTGTCTTATATAATTGTTATACTAAATGGCAAAATGATAGGAAGACTGGCCTTTTATTATTATTATTATTTTAAGATTTAATGTGACAGAGAGAGAGCACAAACTGGGGGAGAAGCAGAGGGAGAGGGAGAAGCAGACTCCCTACTGAACAGGGAGCCTGATGTGGGGCTCGATCCCAGGACCATCATGACCTGAGCCAAAGGCAGATGCTTAACTGAGCCACCCAGGCACCAAGACTGGCCTTTTAGATCCTTAATTTCAATTCAGAGAAAATATAAGAATTTTTTTCTCCTTCCTCTGAAAAGGGAATACTGAACACTATTTTTGGCTTTTCATCATATAATGCATCTTATACAGAGTATAAGAAGCTTCCAAATACACTATATAAACACAGGATAAAAAAACATGAAGGTCTTCACCTCTGCCTCCTTATCTGGTCTCAGATTCCTTTTCCTGAACTTTTATTTATTCAAGTTGTTGTTTTTTTAACCTTGTTTTTGCCTGAGAAGGATCTTCCTAAGTGCAGCCTAGCAAGGAGACTTCAACCAAGTTGCTCGCTTTCTTCTTTTCTAACTTTTTACAGTGTATTGCTGTCAATATCCATGCCCAGTTCTATCTGGAAACTGGCCCAGTTCTACCTCCAGCCAGACACATCAGAAATGGTTTCTCATGCCTGGGCCAAGTGTACAGCACCGCAGCCTCGGCTGGATGCTGGAGGGAGGGTGTGGGGTGGGGTGGGAAAAGACAACAGACATTTTCAAAGTCAGAAACTGAGGTGACTTGCTCCCTCAAAGTGTGTGATTCAGAAGTCTTTCGGTGGTGATTAGAATGGCATTTGAGCTGATTATTTTCATGGTACTGTTGGGAAAGACCCAAGGAGGAAGATGGGGGTGATGTGGAAGTGGGTGGGCAGGGAAACCAGTTCTAGTGCTCGGAGGCAAAAAGGCAGAGGCTCCGCTGCCACAAATAGTCATACAGTGACATAAGGCTCAGGATCCTGGTATATAAAATGCTGGAAGGATGATGTTAAGTTACATAGATTAAATTCCTTGCACAGCACCTGCATCTAGCAGACCTCTATCAAGAGTCACTGCTGGGGGCTCCTGGGTAGCTCAGTGGGTTAAAGCCTCTGCCTTTGGCTCAGGTCATGATCTCAGGATCCTGGGATCGAGCCCCGCATCAGGCTCTCTGCTCAGCGGGGAGCCTGCTTCCCCCTCTCTCTGTGCTGGCCTCTCTGCCTCCTGTGATCTCTCTCTCTGTCAAATAAATAAAATCTTAAAAAAAAAAAAAAAAAGAGTCACTGCTGTCATCAACATCAACAAAACTGAGAGCATCACAAGTTGGGTATCCGTATAGCTAGGCCCAAATTCAGACTAACAAGTCCAAATGTTTACTGAACAGACACCAGTAATTCTTATCTGGCCTGGACTGGAACCAGATACTCTGGTCCTCCAATACCTAGTTAACGGGAGATGGTTCCACACACACAACAAACTTGACAAGATACAGTTCTTCTTCCCAGGTTGTTCAGAAGTGACACTGGGATCATGTATGATGGTATAACATTATAAATGCCTACCACTGCTGACCTGGTGAAACACAGAAACATCAGATAATAGCTCATCTACCCAGGATGCAATTTATAGGCAGGAAGTAAGCAAAAGAGAGAAAAAGCCCCTTGGCAGGTAAAACTGATCTGACAAGTCATGACAGGTCCTTCCTTGGAATAAGGCAGGGGATGGGTAAAGACAGGTTTACCACAGTATATGTAGTAAAACCTTATTTATTTGACTTTATTTTTTTGAAAGAGAGAGCACGAGCGGTGGGAGGGGCAGAAGGAGAAGTAGACTCCCCTGCTGAGCCGGGAGCAGGACATGGGGCACAATCCTGGGACTTCGGGATCATAATCTAAGCCGAAGGCAGACGCTTAACTGACTGAGCCACCAGGCAGCCCAGAACTCATCTTATTTAAATAAAGGGACTTCCCCTCAGGCCTTCAAGCGAGAGCTTTCCAACATCATTCTCACACAGACCTTATAGAGCTGGTAAGATTACTCCCAACCCCATGCTCAAAGCAGTTAAGGAAAAAAGATTTAGTAGGTCCTCCTGACAGCATCAGGAGTCAAAGAACAGATGGAGAGAAGATAGAACACCTGTGGTAAGCCAGACAGCCTCACAGCCTCTGGGGCTCCAGGGGAAAGACAGGCTGCCAGCCACCTTTCACTGGGTACCCAGAGGATCTCTGCATTATGACAAATTCCAAATGTTATGCAAATTGCACAACCGCAAATAATAACACAAATTTCACATATCTTTAGAATACCTGTTTGCAGAAAGCCTGGCCTGTACGCCTTTTTCACTCTCTCCACTCAGGCCCCACCTCCCAGTGAAGCTTGGTGAGGCTCTCCTGGCAGCCCGCTCCTACCACAGGAGGCAGGGCCACACCCCAGCTCAGCACCCCTGCTTTGGTAGTGTCCTTATGAGAGCCCCCCTGCTTTACTGCACATCTGTTCCCTGTCTAGCTGGAGGAGCCCCTTGGTGGGGGTGCCTCCAGTGCCTAATAAGTCATTTGGAAAACAGGAGACAAAGTTTGGTGAGTGAATGAAAAAGAAACTCCCTGGGAACACTGAGTCCGCAGGAATCTATATATGGTCGCAGTGTTGTAAATCTTTGCAGAAGGGATTCTCAAGTTGGGGCCCACAGATCCTTCAGGTAGGTTTATGAAGCCACACAAATGTTAGGTATCTGTTTATCTTCACCAGCTTCTCTTAAGATGTGTGATAGTAAAATGGTTAAGGACTAACACTCCCAGGGCATCTTCTGGGGTCAAAGCTCTGAGCACGCCGGTGGCTGGTCTGCAAGGCCACCTTTGACCCTGTCACTGGTTTTCTCTCCCAGCTTTAGCTCTGCCAAAATGAAACACCTTTTCCAACCCCTCATCATTTCTCTCATCCTAATGTCCATGTGTGGGAGCAACAGCCTGACAAGTCAGCTTGAGAAAGGAGGGGAAGATTCTCTATCTGCAGACCCCCAATGGGGGCAGTTAAGTAGCAAAAACCTGAGCATGCCCCTTCTCCCTGCTGACTTCCACAAGGAAAACACGGTCACCAACGACTGGATCACAGAGGGGGAGGAGGATGAGGACTATCTGGACCTAGAGAAGATATTCAGCGAAGATGATGACTATATTGACATCATTGATGCGGTTTTGCCAACCGATTCAGAGGCCGGTGCTGGGAACATCCTCCAGCTCTTCCAAGGCAAGAGCCGGATCCAGCGTCTCAACATCCTCAATGCCAAGTTCGCTTTCAACCTTTACCGCGCACTGAAGGAGCAGGCCCGTTCTTCTGACAACATCTTCATAGCCCCAGTGGGCATTTCCACGGCCATGGGTATGATTTCCTTTGGCCTGCGGGGGGAGACCTATGAACAAGTGCACTCGATTTTGCATTTCAAAGACTTTGTCAATGCCAGCAGCAAGTATGAAATCATGACCATTCACAATCTCTTCCGCAAGCTGACTCATCGCCTCTTCAGGAGGAATTTTGGGTACACACTGCGGTCCGTCAATGATCTTTATGTCCAGAAGCAATTTCCAATCCTGGATGACTTCAAAAGAAAAGTAAGAGAGTACTACTTTGCAGAGGCCCAGGCGGCTGATTTCTCAGACCCTGCCTTCATATCGAAAACCAATAACCACATTCTAAAGATCACCAAGGGGCTCATAAAAGACGCACTGGAGAGTATAGACCCAGGTACTCAGATGATGATTCTAAACTGCATCTACTTTAAAGGTAAGAAATAGCTTTGTTTCTCAAAACAAACTCGTGACATATTCTTTTAGTGTGCAGCTGCACTGAGCATCAAGAACTGTATTCTCTAGCTCGATTTATCCAGGAAACCAAGTCACAAGGTCAGCTCACAGGGAAGAGCAGGATGAGGCGACGGCAGCAGCTGACACTGAGCCCTAAGTCTGTGCTCTATGCACACAGAAACTTCAGCACAACCTTGTTAGTAGCATCTCATTTTACAGACAGAGCCACCAAGGCACAGAGAAGTAAAATGATGCTCCCAGGGCACATTGTGTATATATGGTGAACAGCCAGTAAGGGGCAGAGCCAAGGTTGCAGGCCATCTCTAGCGCTTTGTTAAATTCGAAGAAAAAAGATGAAAGACCTTTTAAGCATTTGGCCATCTTGGATTTGGGTTTTTTCCCATCTCCCTTCCCAGTTATCAGTAAGCAGGAATATGGACAAGAGGCTGAAGGCAGGTGTCTAAAAACTGTTCAGCTTGACTAACATTAATACCTGCAACTCCTTTTAGGACCCTTGCGTACTAATGGGAAGGAGAGGTGGGGAAATAAATTATTATCTCCAGACCAACTATTCTGGGCCAGACAAACAAGGAGGACATTCCCTACCCCCAAGCCACTACACAGACATAGGACCCCTGGGATCCTGGAAGTAAATGGGCAATGGACTTGTAAAATCCAGACCTCATTCACAGCGCCCTCCCTGGGACTTGAACTGGAAGAAACTTCTACCTTATTCTACAAGCCTAGAGAGTCAAAGGGCAGACACTAGAAACGCGTCCACATCTCAATGACTCATGGTGACATACAACCACTCTCCTCTCTGCCACCAAAACCTGGTGGGCACCAGCTAGAATCAGTCCCTGAGGCCTGGGAGGCTGTGCTTCCTCGCTAGTTAGCTCTAGCACTGGTTATGGCAGCCCAGGTAGGCGAAGGACACGTACCCTCTCTTGGCTGCCACTCTGGGGTGGTGGGGCTGCCGAGGGAGGGCTGAGGCCTTCCAGCAGCTGAGCCAGGCAGGCATTCTGCCGGATGGGCAAAGTAAGGCTGAAGCAGCCAAGACCAAAGGAGGGGCATGGAGGCTGAGCCAGACCCCTGGGCTTCCCTCTCAGATGCCAGGCACACTGCTGGCCTTGTAGTGGGTGTTCAAAGGCTGAGGCTCTAATAGGCTTGTGACAGACACACAGACACATGCCATATATGCATACATATGGTGAACACACATACGTGTTTTTTAAGAGAGACAGTGTGAATGTAGGCAGCGGGGAGGAGGAGAGGGAGAAAGAGAGAAAGAATCACAACGAGGTTCTACACCCAGCACGGGGCCTGAAGTAGGGCTCAATCTCACCATGCTGAGATCATGATCTGAGCTGAAATCAAGAGCTGGGCGCCACCCCCCCACATATACTTTTTATGACTGATCTTAAGTACATGGAAGTGAGCAAACTGTTTAAGCCCCGGCCTCCCCACTTCTTATTCATGTGGCCTTGGGCATGTCATTCAATGTGTCTGGAACTCAGGTTCCTCACCTTTATCACAGAGATGATGATAACACCGGCTCTGACAGGGCTGTGTGCAGCACTGCAAGACAGAGTGATGCAGTGCTAGCCTGGTATGTGGCAAGAGCTCAATGAATTTGAAGGAGTAAAACTGCAGATGTCAACATCATGTAATATATTAGGTAGGTATGATACTGCTAGTGACATTTATTCTGCTTCTGTGAGCAACTAACCTGTGTTTAGGAACAGCTTTAGAACAGCCAGTATAAGTTACTTGGGCAGCACCTGATCCATTGGTCTGTGGGGGCGCCCCAGACATGAGTGCCTCTGCACTAGGCTGGCCAAGTGATCAGGAGCAGGCAGAGAAACACAGCAACAAGCCATTTCCGCCAGCAAGGACTGCAGAATGATGACAATAGTCGGTTTATAACCTCTGGCACACTGTAACCAGTGCCACGCCAAGGGGTTAAAGTGGCAAACATACGTGTGTTCTTTTCCCCTCGTGTTGGATGGTCACTTAATTTACCACTGGAATCAGAGGGATGAAATACCTATAGCACCCAATCTTTCACGGAGGCTTTTTTTTTTTTTTTTTAAATCACGGATGCTTATCAAAAGAAATGACGGTCTAGAAATACAATTTTAATCGCTAGTTCCTCAATGTGTTACTAATCTGATTTTTTAAAAATGTCTTATTTATTTGACAGAGAGAGAGAGCGCAAGCGAGCACAAGCAGGGGGAGCAGCAGGCAGAGGGAGAGGGAGAAGCAGGCTCCTCGCTGAGCAGCACGCCTAACAACACAGGGCTCGATCCCAGGACCCTGGGATCATGACCTGAGCCGAAGGCAGACACTTAACCAACGAGCCACTCAGGCACCCCACAAATTTGATTTTTAGTTCAAATATTATAACCTCCTTGTAAAGCACAATGAAAACAGAGGCTGGGTCTCAGGAGGAAGTCAGAAAGAAAACCAGGTGATGTGTGACTCTAGCAGAAGCACAGTGACGTCTGTGCTTGCCACAACCTGGTGGGGGAAGAACCCCCAGCACCTCGGCGGTAAAGGCCAGGGTTGGTGCAAACACCCTACAATGCACAGGGCAGCCTCCACAACACAGATCTGCCCCATGTCAACAGTGCTGAGGCTGAGAAGCCGGGGAGGAGGCTTATCTCGCCCCAGCGGCTCTACCTACTAGCTAGAAACCCTGAACAAGTTATTTTATTTCTTTGTGCCTCAGTTTCCTCCTCTGTAAAACAAGGCTTATAATAAAAAAACACGCATCTCATATGGTTGCTAGGAAGAGGAAATGAAGGATATGGGAAAGAAGCTTGGACAAATGCCTGGCACACTGCCAGTTCTCAGTTGTCAGTCAGCAGCCATTATCATAGTTACTAGCATCTTAGAGATGAAACAGACATGCACTTACTCCTGGACACACAGCATTATACCCAAATCTGACATGAAGATATGATGGCATCATCAGTGTATCCTTCTAGTCCCAATGGAGTCAGAGTGGAAGGGAGGAAAGACGCTGAAACAGCAGCCGTGAGCAAAAAGCTGCTCATTTTACAGGTCAACAAGTAAAGGTCCAGGCACGTTCAGCATCTTGCTATAGTCAAACAACTAGTTAGTTCCCTCATCTAAACCAGAATTCATTCCAGTCTGTCTAACTTCTCTACCATTATCATACTTCCTACGAGTATGTCAGCATTCTGACCTTGGAATCATTTGGAATAGCAGTCCTCAAAGTGTAGTCTCCAGACCAGGAATTAGCAAGAATGTGCTAGAAATGCAAGTTCTTGGTTCAAATTAGACCTACAGAACCAGAGACTCGGGGGTGGGGGGTGCAGTCAGAACAAGCCCTCCAGGTGTTTCTGATGCATGCTCACATGTGTGGACCATGGCTTTAAAATAGTATTTTAATAAAAGCCCTGTTCTTGTTGACTTTACAGGATCCTGGGTGAATAAATTCCCTGTAGAAATGACACACAACCACAACTTCCGGCTGAATGAGCGAGAGGTGGTCAAAGTTTCCATGATGCAGACCAAGGGGAACTTCCTGGCAGCAAATGACCAGGAGCTGGACTGCGATGTCCTGCAGCTGGAATATGTCGGGGGCATCAGCATGCTCATCGTAGTTCCGCACAAGCTCTCTGGGATGAAGACCCTTGAGACCCAGCTGACGCCCCAGGTGGTGGAGAGATGGCAGAAAAGCATGACAAACAGGTACCTGAGGTTGAATGTTTGGTCTTTTGATCTTTGGGAAGCTGGGAGAGACCAGAAACACTGGGGATTTTGGTCATTTCAAGAAGGGAGACGTGTGCATAAAAACCCAAGAACTGCCATCTTGGCCACTCTTGTTAATTCAGCCCAAACTTCCTGCTCAGTGAGAAGCAATCAGACAGCATCTGTGAGACACATCTGCCCCCCATCCCACCACATGACAGTTTCAGATGTGGGGGGCAGGTGACTTAGAGCCAGCTCAGAAACAATCCCGGCCCCGCCACCTACTTGCTCTAGAGCTTTGAGCCCTGGCTTCAACACTCATAGAAGAAGCACGATTCTATGACTTCCCAGGATTACAGAGAGACCTAGAAAAATGACTCTGAACACCCATCACAGTGCCTGGTGCCTGTGATTAGCTCTTCCTTCCCTGTGCAGGAAATGCTGTAGGCCTCATAATCTATTCAGGACATGTCGTTCATGATTTTCCTCTCTCATTACTCCAGAGTCAAAACTACAGGTTTCAAGCAATTACTATGATTATTAGCAGAACATGGCAGAAAAAATAGAGAAGTAACATTTCTGTTCTATTGGAAACTGGCTAGGCCCATATTAAGATGTGAATCTGGTTCAGGTCTCCTTTTGTGACAAGAATGCAGAGAAATGGAACAAACCCAGAAGAGGGCTCTTAGAGGAAGGTATTCGCCCAAGGAATCAATGAGTCATCAGGCCCTGTCAATTTTTCCTTAGAAATGTCCTCTCTGTACCCACTTCCTTCCTAACCTCACTGTCTGTGACCTCCACCCTGAGCCAGGAAGGCCTAACCAGCCTGCCCATTCCATTCCTCAAGCCCCATGGCACTGGCCTCCAGATAGCGTCCCCAAGACACCCACTAGCTCCAGCTCTTGTTCTCAGAAGCTCTCTATGGGCCACCTCCCCACAGGATACAGCCCAGCTTCTTGGCCAGGCCCACAGACACAGTCCCCCAAATGACCTGCTTTGTCCCTCCTCCTCTTTCCTCCCCCTGCCCAGTGCCCCTCTGCATGCCAGCCGGACCACGGCTCAAGCTCCCTCCAGGCTTGGCTCACACCATCTCTCAAGCTATGGGCAGCCTTCTAAGCCCCAGGAATACCCCCTCCTCCTCAGCCCCTGCTGGATGGCTCTAGTAGTTAGATCTGTCCTGGTTGTTCAGACATTATCCTACCACCTTTACCATTTTGCTGCTTCACACACGTGAGTCCTGGCTTGTCAAAAGGAAAGCAAACTCTTCAGCTGTGTCTGATGTCTCTTTATCCCCTTTGTGTGCTGGACTTGGCCCCATGGGCAGTGTAGTTGCTGTTTACCCATAAGGACTGAACGTGTTGAGACAAGGACAGAGAACTAAAGTTTAGCACTTTCCGGCACGTGAAGGGTTCTTTTTTCTGTCCACTGATCAGATATTCAACTGCTTACTTGACAAAATAAGAAATGCGTAAAATCAAGGACCCAAACAAGATAATTATTTCAGATATTTTTCAAACCACAAACCAGTATAGTTCTGGAGCTCACCTGGAAGGCGGGCCATGAACCCCACAGTATGGAGGAAATGACTACCTAGCACTAACCATGCCTCCATTTTAAAGAACCGGAATTATAATGGATGGTCTTTCCCAAAAACTCAACTGACAGTACTAGGATATGAATTTCAAGAAGTGCTGCATCCATTCTGTGGTAAAAGCAACCTGGGGTTGATGGGGGAAATGAGGTTGTGGACATTTGAGGAAAAACAGGATTCTTTTGGAACTTGTGGTTCAATAAAACTGGGCCCCCTTTTCTTCTCTGCCCAGAACTCGAGAAGTCCTTCTGCCAAAATTCAAGCTGGAGAAGAACTACAACCTCGTGGAGGCCCTGAAGTCAATGGGGGTCATGGCACTGTTTGACAAAGACAGCAATATGACAGGAATCTCAGACCACAGGATCACCATTGATCTGGTACGCTCTCCCCTTGTCCACCCTTCACACCTCTCCCCAGCGTCTGCCCCCAGCAAAGCCTCCCTCCTGCTTCGTCTGACTTCACATGTCAGCGGTGCTGAGTCTACCAGACACTGAGTGGGCAGGGTAATCTGTTTTAGGAAGCAGCGTGGGAGTGAGCCTCATTCCTGCTGACTGCAGAAAGAGAGGAGGTGTGTGCCCCGATCCATGAAACAGGTACAACCAGTTGAATTATGAAAGACCCGTTAAAATATATGCAGAGAAGGTGCATGACCTATATGCTGAACTTGAAATAACAACAGACAGTCCACAAAAAAAGAAGAGAGTATCAGTCCAAAAAAACCCATGCAGATCCAGGCCCCACCCTCCTGGCAGTGCTCCTACAGTGTGCGAAGGAGACGGGGCCTGTAGGTGCCGTCTTGCTGGCAGACCACTCATACTATGACGACCACCAGAAGCGGCTGTGGTGCTGGAGTTTAGAGATATGCATTGTTTATATGACACAGCCTCTGAGCACAATTACTGCATCTGGCAGGAGGTGAGAGAGGCCTTCAAGGGTCATTCTGGCCAGCTATGGTTTGTGCCTTGTATGTGGCGTTTCCACCCTGAATGACAGGAGACTCCACTATATCGTCTATCCCTCTGTGTGCCCACTGACCAGATCTGACAACTTTCCTTTCCACTTTGAAATAGTTCAAGCACCAAGGAACCATCATGGTGAACGAGGAGGGCACCCAAGCTGCTGCCATGACCACGGTGGGGTTCATGCCGCTGACCACCCAAGTCCGTTTCACCGTCGACCGCCCCTTCCTCTTCCTCATCTATGAGCACCGTACCAGCTGCCTGCTCTTCATGGGGAGAGTTGCCAACCCCACCAAGTCTTAATTAAGGTGGAGGTCTGGGCATTTCAAGTGTCTTGGGGGGCACCCTGTAATCCTGGTTCCATTCTAACAATGAGAATGGAGATGTTTTGGCATCATGGCTTTCGTGGTTTATGCTACCATTCTGAAATCGACACCCATAGCAGAGAAGAAATTTACAAATGACTGAGAAGCTCATCAGAATCCGTTCAGCACGGTGAACAATGCCAGCAGTTCATAGAGGTTAACGTACCTGTGATAAGTCAGCTGTTACACAGGGTGTGTCAGCAACATACAGACCAGCTTCCTCCCGCCTCCTCAGTGCAAAGCTATAGAGGGCTTACCTGTGTACCTCCTTTCCCTGCTGTCCCCATTCTTGAACTTTTGGCTATATCACTCAAATTATCAGCGCTCATCTGGACACAGAATACAGAAATGAGCTGCAGGACTAATTTCTCACCTCTCCCAAGGATGGTGCACAGGACAAAAGCAGCCTCATGACATTCACGGGGTGCCCTGGGTGTTAGGGCTTAATTCTCTCAAGGCCTAACCTTGTGAACTGATGCTAAATGTCATCTATACTTCTGCTGTCACCTCACTGCTGCCCAGAGGACAGTGTGTACACATGGCCATGCCTTCTACCTTAGAGATAAATAAATATTGCCACTTTTACTGGTGTCTGCTATAATTCTCTATTTTTTGAGGCTCAGGTAACTAAGAAAAGTCAAATTCAAAATAGCTGACATTCCCAGGAATGACAGAGGTCGACAAAAAACAATTTGAGTTCTTCACGGTGACTTAGGTGCTACACAGAAAGCATATTCCTCGGGATCAGGACGTGGTGAATGTTGCTAAATCCTAGAGGCAACGATGCTGTGGATGGGGCTTTGTAGAAATTCCTGAAATGCCAGTCTTCATGTGGGGCACATGCTTTGGCTTTCATCCCTGGACGCAGGGAGACCCTCAGACGAGCTCCCATAGTGGGTCTGGTCTGAGAAAGCAAGCGACATTCAGATGTCTTGATGTTTCGCTACTTGGGTAAAATGAGTGGAATTCAAAAAGGCTGCTCAGAATTCAAGGCTCCTGGTGCCTCTGCAGTGCTGGGGACTCTGGGCGGTAACACTGAGAGCATCTCTGTGTGTGCTGTGTGTGCAGCTAAGAGCTGCAAGAGAGGCCTTTTCTTCTTTGCAGCCGAGGTAGAGCAGGGTTTGAGCACAGGTTGGCTTGACTCCAGAGTCACCCATAGAGTCTTGTCACGGAGGGCTTTGACTCAGTGAGACCAATACTAGTCATGGTGGCAGAAAAAGGAGAGCACCTCACGCTCCCCACTGTAGGGGGCCACTGTGATGGGTTTGCCTGCAGGTTATCACTGAGTCTTTCCACCAACACTAAGAGGTTCGCACTGTTATCCCCTCTTTTTGGCAGAAGAAACAGCTGAGGTCTCAGAGGAGACATGATCTGCCCCAGGCCCTGCTGTTCATTGGTAACTCCTCTCCACTTGCTTCCTTTCCAACTTCCCACACCTCCGCCTCCTGTATCTCCTGACCAGTGCAGGGTGGAGGCTACATCTTTGCCTATCACACTTCCAGACCTCTAGGGGAGCCCTGAGCTGGCTGACATCCCACTTCTTGAATTCCTTCTCCAGTGCACTTCCACACTATCCTTTCCTGGTGCTTGTTCCTGCTTTTCTTGTCCTGCTGCTGGTTTCTCGTGTTCCTCCTATTCCTAAATGTGGCTCTCTCAAAAACCCCGCCTATGGCCCTTTGCCATGTCTGTCCCCTACCCAAAAGGTGACCATCTCCCTTCCAATGTGGCCTGCCCCACCTCTGCTGGAGCCAGCCCAGGCTCCTCTGTGATCTGGCCCAGGCCAAGGCCCTCCAGCCTCCACGCTTTTCGTTCACCTACATCCACTCAGAATGCACCCAGACCCTCTCTTTCAGGAACTAGCTGATACAGGTTTAGAGGCATTAGAGTATTAATTCAGAACACAGACCCTGAGCCAGGCTGCCTGGGTCCCAACCCTGGCTCTGACATTTAGTAGCTGTGGGACTCTGAGGCAAGTTCTGTACCTCAGTTTCTCCACCTGTAAAATAGGGATAATAACAGGGGTGCCTGGGTGGCTCAGTGGGTTAAAGCCTCTGCCTTTGGCTCAGGTCACGATCCCAGGGTTCTGGGATCGAGGCCCACATCAGGCTCTCTGTTCAGCAGAGAGCCTACTTTCCTTCCTCTCTGCCTGCCTCTCTGCCTACTTGTGATCTCTGTCTGTCAAATAAATAAATAAAATCTTAAAAGTCTAAAGAAAAATAGGGATAATAACAGCACCTACTTTGCAGAGCTATTGTAAGGATTAGGTGAGTTAATGACTGGAAGGGATTTACATCAGCGCTTGGTGCTTAGCATAAGCTAGATAAGGGCTTCTTGTTACTATCTTTTTTTTTTAAGGTTTTATTTATTTATTTGTCAGAGAGAGAGAGCAAGAGTGAGAGAATGAGTGAGTACAAGCAGGAGGAGCAGCAGGCAGAGGGAGAAGCAGGGTCCCCGCTGAGCAGGGAGCCCAATGTAGGACTTGATCCCAGGACTCTGGGATCATGACCTGAGCTGAAGGCAGCCGTTTAACTGACTAAGCCACCCAGGCGTCCCTTGTTACTATCTTTGAGAGAGTATCTAGCCCAGGGGTTCTTGACTGGGGGGCCCTGGGCGGGTTTCTCCCACTCAACTTCCGGAGAATAAATTCAAAACCTTGTTAAGAGATGCATTTCTATGGAAGGAGAGGGCAAGGGTTTCAAAGGAGTCCATGACCTAAACCCTGTTAGTCCACAAACCTAACTTTATAGGCACTGAGAGAATAAGTAACTTGTCCAAGGCCACAAAAATTACCAGCGGCACAGGTAAACGAGCTCTAAGTGAAGTGCACAAGTGTTTTCTGAGCAGGAGGCGCAGCTTGGCAAATCACTAGTTTACAACAGGGGAACACACAGGACTCTTAAGCATTAGACACCCTTTCTGGTGCTTGATTAACTAAAGGGCTAGACATTAAGAAAAGCGATTTAATCAGTGTTACTTCTGAAGAAACACTATTCTACAAAGTTGCAGGTCAAAGATCACCAAACCTACTGAAGGAGCCTTAGAAATCATATGACTCAGTCTCCTGTGATGCCCTCCAGGCTCCTAAAGTCACTGAGAAGTCACTGATAAGCTGCATATGGACAGACACCGGGGCTTCCTGCCTCAAACCCACTGGCACTTCCACTGAACAAAATACCGGGAGACACTTAATCATCAAAAGATCCAAAACAGAGTATCTTCTTCCAAAAGAAAGGAAAGAAAGAAAAGATTAAAAAAAAAAAGTTAGAAACTAGTTTCTCCTAGAGGGTCCAAGGGGCAAACCAGAAGGCAAATGTAAGATCCCATGATTCTCTGTGCTCTTTGTTGAGCAATAGAATCAAATATTTGTTTCCTCCCCCATAATATAACCATTAACTTTTGTTAAGACTACAATACTTATTCTATTCACGTAAAAGGTCACTGCAGTGGAGTAAACAAAGTATTTTAAGTCAGTGTGTGCTTGCCTATAGTTGCTAACAGTCATGCTGACACTGACCCAGCTGGGCACTTCAGAGCCTCATCTTCATCTTTTCAAGAAGCTTTATGGGCAGAGCAGGCACAGAGAGGTTGTGACGCTCACCCAGGATCCCACGCAGAGGACCAGGAGTCCAACCCTGGCCTCCGTGACCTGAACACCTATGTGTTCCCAGCCAACCTCATCGGTCACTACTCCCAGAAAGTGCAAAGTGCCCCCTGCAATTTCTTCTATGCAGTTACTAAACTCTAAATGACAACAGCTACACATGCTTGAAAGCTCACAGGCACACGGGTCAGAGAACTCTGGTGTTCGAACTCACCAGAATTCAGGAATTCAAGTGTTACCCCAGACAAGCCCCCAGGCTGCCAAAATCTGCTCTCTCTTGGAGCCTGCTGCTGGCCCCTCTCCCCTCAGACGGTCTGAGAGAGTGCCATGGACTTATGCCCCTCACTTTTCCCTCCAGGCCAAACAAAGAATCCATGTACCATGGTACTTCTAAAACACAACTGTACACTAACCAATACTAAGTATAAAGTGAAAAAGTTTATGTTTTAAAAAAACCAATGGACGCAGTGATGAAAAATACGGCAGCAGAGAGTCCTGGCCGTTCTCAAATCCTCAGAGCCTATGGGAGGCACCTGATTGCAGGTGTGAAGGTGGTTAAGGTTCCCAGGGGAGAGGGAAGAGTCACCAGTACAGGAAGTCAGTGAGGGCACGGGCAGACTTGAAGCCCTCCCCCTCCCCCTCCAGCACACTCAGGCAAAGGAGACTATCCTGACACAGATGCAGCAGGGGAACAAGCAACTCAGCTTCTGCTCCAGAATCAGTCACTTACAGGGCAGGGGATCAGGAAAGAAAAGGACAAGCTGAAGGAAGGTGAATGGAGGCAGAATGCTCCACAAAGTACAACCTGTGACATCTTAAAGGCAAATGATAATAAACCAGTCAGCTCCCATTTTCACCCACCTTGGCCAGCTAAAATCAGACCCTAAAGTGCACTGATTCCAAATGATCGGAACACCCAGACTGCAGTAAGAACAGAAACTGAGATCAGGAGAGGTGCCTCTCTGTCCACCTGCCTGACCTCTACAGCCCTGGGTCACCCTGACAGCTCAGAGGTCAACCCCTCTGGTGTTCCATGTGAAGGGACACATGTGTGAGTGCTCAAGACTCGAACTACGGGGGTTGGGGAAAGGTGGGAAGGAACTGGAAGGCAGAAGGAGCTTAACCAGAAAGTAGGTTTAGTGGAAGTTAGAGAATCACAGATGAAAACAAATATTAGAACCTGGGGCCGTGGCTTAGGAGTGGCAGCTGGGAACAACTGAGAAAAGGGAAAACAACTTCTACAAAGGTCATTTGGGAAGAAAAGGCTGCAGGTTGAGACAAGGCAAGATGAAGAGTGTTGTGGCACAGGACAGGGCCTAGACTGTGAGCTGCCACCATGGTGGTGGGTGGGGCTGTGCTCCAAAGTATAACCAGCCCCTTGTGTCCCCTGTGGGACCAGGATGG